TCAAGTTTCCAGGGACTCTTTGGATCCAGAAGTTGGGGAACCACAGACTCAAATAGGATGAAGACCAAGAAGCTCTCCTGGACCCACTGGGAATGTCTGTTCACTTGGAGAATTCCATTCACTTCTGCTTTCAAAAGAATGAAAGGTAAAGTCTAGAACTGGTCCCAACACTCAGGGAATTTAGTCATGAAGAGAGATACACAAAAGCAGGCAGTATTAGTATTAGTAACTATATTAGTTATAGTATTAGTCTCCCTGTATTAGTCAGCTTGCATTACTACAATGAAATAACCAAGGCAGATAAAATACCACAGGGAGCCCCACAGCCCCTCCAAGGTTCGTCCCAACGGCTGGGAAGCTCCCACCAGACCCCACCTCCCAAAGGTTCCTCCACCTCCCCAAAGTGCCACCAGCCTGGGACCAACACTGTAATCTCCACAGGCCCCTGGGGGACACTCAGGTCACACCTAAACCATAGCAATGCTCCAGAGCAGATTTGCTTTGTGTACAGTCTGGCTCCTCCTACCACCTTTCCCACCTTAGGCCAGACCGGCAGAGCTGTGTGTGAGCCTCTGCTTCCTGTACACCCCTCATCCAATTGGAAAGCAAGTCCCTTTGTCTCCACCTGAAAAATAAATCTAGATGCTGGGCATGGTGGCATAGACGGTCAGCACACCACTTGGGAGGCTGAGGTGGGAGGGTTGCTGTGAGTTCAAGGCCAGCCTGGGCTACATAGTGAGTTCAGGGCCAGCCTGAACTACAAAGGGAGACCTTGCCTCAAACCCCACCCCCCGGCCCCACCCCCCAAATACAATACAATACAAGAGAATCCAATCACTCCCCCAACCAGGCCACCCTGAAATGAGCCCATCCCCTGCCTCCTCGACCAGCCCACTGGGCTCCCAGTTTTCACCCTCACCCCCTACAGCCTGTTTCCCACACAGCAGCCACAGAGGTTGCCCTCCAAAGTCTTCCCGTCTCTGTAAAACACCAACTCTTCACCATGGCCACAAGGCCCAGCCATATCTGATGCCATATCTGGCCACTTCCTATCTCCATGGCATCCTTTTTCACTGTCTCCATCCCTCAGTCCACTCCAGCTTCACTGGTCCCTTTGCTGTTCTTTAAGTCATCAAGTACATTCCTGCCCCAGGGCCTTTGCATTTGCTATGCCTGAAATATCTATGTGCAGCATTTTCACAGTTCACTTCCCTTGGATCTCTGCCTAAATTCTCCACCCCAGAGATAATTTTTCTGTCAGCTTCCACCAGATTCTGCTGCAGAAACAACCCCTAAATCTTGTCATTCCTCACTCGTGTTATGAACATTGACTGCAGGCAGGCTGTGGGTCTTCTCTACACATCTTTGTCCTGGGGTCATGGCGGAAGGAGTGACAATCCTTGGGACAGAAACTACGTTGACCACTGGGCCAGGGATGTAGCTCAGTGGTGCTGCACCTGCCTGGCAAGTACAAGGTCCTGAGTTCGATCCCAGGTACCACAGGGAAAGAAAAAGCTGTGGTGACTGGAGAAGCCAGGGACAGAGCAGCCCACGCTCATGGCTCACTGGGGACCAGGCCTGCAGTTGGGAATGTGGCAGGAGACTCCGCTTGCAAGAGGGAGCAACAGCTCCAAGAAAACGAAACAAGCACAGCTGGACGACACAGTGCTGCTCCCACCAGCTGTGCACAGATGACCCCGGGTTACTTCCAGGGGACCGGAGGCCGATTTTGCTGAGTACATGGGCTCTCCACTGACCTGCAGCTGTCTGGTGGGCAACTGGAATGGAGAAAAGGCCCACACTTGCAGCTTTGTCACACCTGTCCCCTGCACTGTCCTAGCCCCGGGGTCAGATTCCACTGGGCTCTGCATGTGGACTTGAAGGCCATTTAGGAAACGTTGTGTCCAAGACCCCGACCCAGGTGAGCTTGGCCTCCGCCCATGGGAGCTGGTCTGTGTCCATTTCCTCGGCAGCCCAAGCCCTGAACGCCCTCTCCCTGTCCCCAGGCTGGGCCATGTGGCCGGGAGAGGACGTCAGCAGTAGGAGGAGCTCGGCAGACCCTGAGCGAAGTGGACCTCGAGTCAGCCCACCAAGCACGAGACCAGGATGTGCAGGATGACGGAGCCAGACAAGCAAAAACTCAACGCCTCTAGGACAGGATGACCGTGACCACCCATGATCCAGGTCTGCCACATCTTTCAGATCAGAGCCTCTACCCATGGGAATTACTGGACTCCATCCTGTCCCAGCAAATCAATAAACACCTGCTATCCTTCCTTCAGCAAGTGCAGTTTGGTTGATCTCTTGACCAATCACTGGCCTCCTTCAGCTGAAGCCCCAGGGTGACCGTGGGTCAGAAGATCCTGTCTTCTGGCATCTGCAGCCTCCACCTTGCTGACAGAGCACCTGCCTCCCTCGTTACCATCGGCCTCTTTCCGCCTCCCTCCCCAGCAACCTCTTGCTCATGTGTCTTCTGCCCCTGGACAGGTGTAGCACGTAGTAGGTGCTCAATAAATATGTATTGGCTGAATGAATACAGGAGGCCAAAAGGCCCAAGATGGGGCAGTCTAGAGAGGTGTAGGAGCCGAAAGAGGGGCATTTCACTGAATCCCTCACACCCACCCTCAGGGCTCTGAGCTGGGGAGCCGTTAGCAGAGGAATCATACAGCTTCTTGGTTCAGCCCACCTATTCCAACCAATAGCAACCTCCATCCACCACAGGCTCCTCCCACCTATTTCCCCCCCAAGAAACAAGCATCTCACTTAATTCAGCTACGTCGGCAGCACAGACTTTTGGCCCTTCCCAGTGTATAGGAGCTGAATTACTATTTTTTCAAAGGAATATGGGCCACTGAAGCCCCATCTCCTCCTGCTGACTCTCACCACCTCCTAGTCCCTTCCCTGAGGCTTTCCCACTTCCTGACCCCTAACTCTGATTCCATCTCAAACTTGCCCCATCCCTGCCCTCAACCCTGCCTTGTCCCCACTCTTTAGTTTTGTTTGAGACAAGGTCTCACCAAGTAGCCCAGTCTGACTTCTGTGGTGAGCCTCCAGCCTCAGCCTCCTGAGATCTTGGATTATAAAGCGTGTGCCACCATGCTGAGCTTTGTATTGTTTGTTTGTTTGTTTGTTTGTTTGTTTGTTTGTTTTTTGAGACATTTGAGACAGGGTCTCACCGTGTAGCCCAAACTGGCCTCAAACTTGCAGAGATCCTCCTGCCTCAGCCTCCTGAGTGCTGGGATTACAGGCATGTGCTTTGTCACCATACTTGAGAGGCTGAATCATCTCATGACGTGAAATTGCTCAGGACCACAGCCTCACCTGTACTACTACCAAGTTCAATGCCCAGTGGGGAGGAGGTGGAACAGGGGTGATGTCAGGAGCAAGGCTACATAATTTTGGGGAAAAATCATTTCACAATTAAATTATGATTAAGCCTACAGGGTGGCTATGGTGTGTCAAGGCATAACTTCATTTTTGCCTCTGGTCACAGCTAAAACCTCAATGGTTGACACTCCAGGGCAGGATTACATCAGCTGAAGACATTCTGGGGAATTGAGCAGTAACAGAAAAGTTTCATCTGGGAAGGACAAATTCCTTATCAACATAAATTCCTCATCATCCTATGATTATTGGCACCCTCTGAGTCATCTGTTACTCCCAGTGAACCAAATAAAGGTGTGGCAAGCTTGGGGTGAACAACATTGATCAGCCCCAAAGCTCAGCTTCTTTAAGTCTCATTTCCTGTCTTTATTCTTTAATTCGCCTTGGGCTGTCATGGCTCACAGGAGACCAGGACCCACTGCAGAGGTTCTGGTCATGTCCCCTTTCCCTGTTCCCTACAGGGTGAGGGACCCCAAATGTGAAGTCAAACAGCAGCAGAGGGACAGCCTGAGAGGAGTGGAGCTCAGCAGGGCATCCCCTGGGAGAGGGGGACATCCCTGATGGTGACAGCATGACCCAGAGAAGGAACATAGCCACGGCCACAAGTTCCTAGTTTGGAAATAACTGAGCAGAACAAAGATGCTAGAAATTACAGAGATTTCCAAGAGCCCTGCCTGTGTGATTTCATTCAGAAATTCACCTGCACACGTCCAGGGCAAATACAGCCACCCAGCATCCCAGCTGGCACCCGTGGCATCAGAGAGAGTGGCCAGGGACAGAACTTTCCAAAGGAGCCAAAACCCAAAGAAGGAGTTTCCTAGAAATATACTGGGATGTTCAGGATCCGGGACCAGAGCTGCTAGGGAGCCCCATGTCCATGGCGGGACACCCTGGGGACCAGGACACCTCTCGGGCTCTGTCTCTGAGCCTCTGGCTCTGTCACCTCTCCCTCATCTTTGTCTGTCTCATCAATCTGACTCTCATTCTCTGCGTTTGTGGCACTGAGGATCGAAACAGGGCCTTCCCACTGACCTGCAACCTACATCCTCACCCCTTTTTTTTTCTTCCTTCACTCCCTATTTTGGGACAGGGTCACACTAAGTCGCTGACTTGCCAGGGTTGCACTCAAAATTGTGACTGCTGTCTCGGCCCCCCAGATCGCTGAGACCACAGACCAGTGGCGTGCCACCACACCCGGCCCCTCTGCCATTCTCCTGTGTCAGTTTCTCTCTCCCGACTTCTCTCGCAGTGTGTCTCTCCCCAGCTCGGCAGGCCAGCCCCACACTGTACCTCATTCCCCATACGCCCTTCCCTCCAGACTTGGAGTTCATCTGTCCCCTCCTCCAGCACCCAGACTCCTCGGAGGCAGGGCTGCTCAGCTTCATTCTTTGCTGCTCTATCCCAGGGCCAGGAGTGCAAACCAGAAAAATTAAAGGAGGAAGAAATGAACCACTGCTCTCATGAGCAGCATTTGCTTGTACTTTATTATATCACGGCTTGATTTTGGGTGCTGGAGAAGAACAAAGGGCCTCACACACACTAAACACTTGTTCTGCCACAGAGCCACACCCCAGCCTGACCTCGCATTATTTACAGAACTGTACTGGGAGGACATTAATCACCACGGCTGCCACTCTGCCAATAGCATAGCTGCTCTTGGCTGAGTGCAAGCTATGGACAGCTGCTGGGCAGAGAGCTTCCTGTTCCAGCCTCACACACACCTCTGGAAGTGAGCACTGTTATCATGCTGGGTCTTCAGAGGAGGAAACCTAGGCCCCACAGGAAGCAACTTGCCTGGTATGTGCTCAGCTGGTGGGAGGAGCTGGTGGTCAAGAGCCCCCATCTGCCCCTTCTCCCTTTGGGGGATACTGGTGGCTGAACCCTGGGCCTTTGCACTGAGCTACATCCCGAGCCCTTTTTTTCATTTTTTATTTTGAGACAGGATCTTGCCAAGTTGTCCGGGCCAGTCTCCAACTTCCCACCCTCCTGCCTCAGCCTCCCAGAGGGCTAGGCAGGGATGACAGGCCTGCCCCACCTCACCCCCACACTGGCTTCTTATCTCAGCTCTGCCACTCAGCAGCCGCCAGCCTTTAGTACGCTGTGAATCTCTGCGTGCCTCGGTTTCCTCCCCGGGACAGTGGGATCCTCCTATGGGAAGCGTTAGTGTCCGCCTCACTGCCCAGGAGGAATGAGCTGCCCAGGGGGCTACCCCGCCCCAGCTCCAGCCCGGGAGGCCCCCACCCGCGGTCCCTGCCACCCCGCTGGGAAGCTGGAATCCCCGCCCCGCCCCAGGCCTGACCAACGGGGTGGCAGCAATGTCCCCTCCCGCTCCCCCGCAATCCACGCAATCTCTCAGTCGCGCTGAGTAACGCGGCTGCCAGAGGAGCGAGTAACAGGGCCGCCTGTGCCTCGGGCCGGCATCCGCATGGCCCACGCCGCGCTGTCGGTGCTGTCGCTGCTGTGGCTGCTGTCGCTCTCCTCGGTGCCCCCCGGAGCCGGTGAGTGTCCCCCGCTCGGGCCCCTACCACGGCCTCCTGGGTCCCCTTCGCCGTCAGCCCCGCGCCCAAGAGAGCAGGGCCCCGGCGGCCGGGCCAGGGCCTCCCTCTGTCCTGGGGAAAGTGGAGGATTTGGGCCCCGAGACTCACAGAAAGGGCTCCGCTTCCGGGAAGCGCGGCTGAGCCTGACTCACGGAGGTGAAATTAGTTCCTCTCCTGTCGCTCACCTGGGCCTCGTCCCAGTGCCGCGAGGGGGCAGGGTGGGGGTGGGGCCCGGGAGGCGGCCCCGCTGGCAGGCTTCAGGGGCCTTTCATTCATTCTCCCTGCTCCTGGTACTGGGGCCTGAACCCAGGTGCTTGGCACTGAGCTACATCCGCACCTCACCCTCGCTCTCGTTTTTAATTTTTTTTTATTTTGAGGCAGGGTCTTGTCAAGCGTAAAGTGCCCAGGTTGGCCTCAAACTTGTGATCCTCCTGCCTCAGCCTCCCAGAATTCTGGGATTACAGGTGTGGGCCACCAAGCCTGGCTTCATTCTTTCTTTCAAATTCATGCAGTCGTCCCGCACACACTCCCACCTAGTGTGCCTGACAGTGTTTCAAGCACTCAGGATACAGCGGCCCCCTGGGGTCAGCTTTTGGCATTTCATAGCCGTGACCTAGAGGGTACATTAGGGGGAAGTGGGTTCTGCAGAGAGGTGGGTATTTCACGTGGTGTGCCTGGGTCTGGCCGGGATGCGGTTATAGTGACAACAGCGATGGCCAGGACATGAACGGTAATAATACTGCATGCAGGGCCAAGTTCCTCTTTGTGGCCTTTCCCTGAAGGTGCCCGCAGAACACTGGCACTTTCCGGGCCGAGGGGCTCTGGGAATGCCACTGACCCCGCCCTGGGGAAATTCCCAGGCGGGGGTATGGGAGCTGGAGGAGAGGTGAGGCAGGAAGTACCCAAGCTGAATGAATGAGCAACTAACTCAGTGACAGGGCAGCACCGCCAGGACGGGGCAGGGCCCTTCCCTGCTGGTTATTCCCAGCCAGTGACCTCACCCTTCCACTCCTGCTCCCCTCTGTCCCATGGGATGCAAATACCAGTGTGGCTGTAGTGGGGCTGCGGAGAGCACTGGAGAGGGCTTCAGGTCCAGTCACCCCATCCCAATCCCCGGGGGTTGAACCCAGGGCCTTTGCACTGAGCCACATCCCTGCCCTCTACTTTTGAGACAGAGTCCCGATGAGTTGCTAAATTGCCCAAGCCAGGCTTGAATTTCCAGTCCTCCTGCCTCAGCCTCCCAGAAGGCTGGGGTTACAGGTGTGCACGACCACACCCGGCTGGCCTCATCCAATTTCATTCCCAAGGCAGTCCCGACAGGCAGGAGGAGGAACCCGGCTGAGAGAAGGGGACCCCTTTACCCAGAGCCACACAGAGCTGGGCGGAGTCAGGCATTCAAAGCCCAAGCCCAGGCCCCAGATCCACACATTCGCCATCCATCCCTAGTCACTTGTGCCCTGTCTGGTCCTCCTCCCAGCAGCTCCGGGCACCTCGGGGCACTGCCCCCGGCTTCCTCCGCTCCTCCTGACCCCAGTTCATATTCGCCACGATGGAGCCCCGAGGTTGTGTAACAGCCCTATGAGTTTTTCATCACCTCTCCCTCCTGATGCCGCCCATCGCCACCTGCCTTGTGTTACCACAGCAAAACCCTAAACCAGTCCGTTTACAGAGAGGGAAGGTTTACTTGGGTTCACAGGTTCCCAGGTGCCAGGCCAAACCACGCTGTTCGCCTGTAGGAGGGCAGCACATCTTAGTGGGCAGAGCCTGCTGGAACAAAACCACCGCTCATCTCATGGATCTAGAAGCAAGGGAAAGAAAACAGGAGAAACCAGAGTCCCACCGTCCCTCCCGGGTCACAGCTCCAGGGACCTAACCTCACCGGTCCCCACCTCTTTTTTCTTTCAGTACAGTGTTATCAGGTACTTTCTTAAGAAATGCCTGCCAATCAAAAGTATTCCATGTCTTTCCTCCCTCGAACAAAGAACTGGGTGAGACAAGCCAATAACGGTCCCCCAAGTTTATTTGAAAAGTGAGGGATGAATGGGATGGAAGAAACCAGCTCTGCAGGGCGAACTTGGGCAGAACAAGAGAAAAGGAAGATAAAAGCAAAAATAAAAGTACACGCTGCGTCTAAGAGATGCAGCACGGGCTATGTTGGGAGTCACAGCAGCGAGCTCTCCAAGGCATCAGGCCTTCTTTCCTGGGGTCCACATCTCGTGGGAGCCTGCGAGAAGTTCCACATACGGGATCCTGAGAATTATTTGGCGCTGTCCTGGGATCTTGTAATTGACAGGTCCCACTCATTTCCTCAGCGAGCTTTCCCGTGGACTATCTCCTAAATCGCTGGGGTTGAACTTAGGGTTTTACAGCCTCAAAGACTTTTTTTTTTTAGACAGTGTCTCGCTAAAGTGATAAATTGCCCAGGCTGAGCTCAAACTTGTGATCCTCCTGCCTCAGCCTCCCAGAGTGCTAGGAGTACAGGAGGGTGCCTGGGACACAGGACTTTAGACCTCACCTCTTACAGGGGCCAAGCCTCTACTGCATGGACCTTTGTAGGACACTTAAGATCCAAACAGAGCCAGGGATTTGGCACAGTGGCACGGCACCTGCCTCGCAAGCGAAAGGTCCTGAGGCCAAGCCCCGGTACAAAAAGAAAAAGAAGAAAAAGATCTAAACTACAGCATCCATGTTACAGGTGAAACTGAGGTTCAAAAGACAAAATCCACCTGCACCAGGGCCCCTGCTAGGAGGGCAGGGCCAGAGCTCTGAGAATTTGACTCCTTCCCACCTTCTCGCAGTAAAAAGAATGCACAGCATTATGTTTCCTAAAGTCAGTAAGATCTCAGACAGGCTGAGGACCTATTATGTGCTGGGATGAAGGACCAAAGATTTCCATAGGGCCTACTCGACAGACTACAGACAGCCCAGGTTCAAATCCCACCCTGCCTGCTCTCCCTGATGAGCTCTGTCAAGCCACTCTGTGCCTCAGTTTCCCCATCTATAATTGATGCCCTGTTTCCCCATAGGAACCGGAACCGTGAGTGTGCAGGTGCTTCCCGAGGTGCGCGGCCTCTTGGGCGAGTCGGTGACGCTGCCCTGTCAGCTGCAGTCCCTGGAGCTGGGCACAAATGTGACCCAGCAGACCTGGGAGCACCGGGAACTGGCAGGGCCCGTCCACACCGTGGCCGTCTTCCACCCTACGCGGGGCCCCAACGTCCAGGATCCCCAGCGGGTGAACTTCGCGAATACCAAGCTCGGCGCGGACCTGAGAAACGCCAGCCTGACGGTGTCGGAGCTGCGCGCCCAGGACGAAGGCACCTACACGTGCCGGATCGCCACATTCCCGCAGGGCACAGCCAGCAACAGCACCCGACTGCGCGTGCTCGGTGGGCCAGGGCCGGGGGCGGGACAAGCAGAGAGGGGCGGGGCTGCAGGCCAGGTGGGAGCAGAGGCCCCTACGCGGAGGCTTCATCTTGGGGAGCAAGTGGAGAGGGTGCTGAGAAGGAGCTGGGCAGGGGCCCTGAGGTTGCAGCCCACCTCCACCACTACCAGCTTACGCACTGGTTTCTTCCGCCTCCCCCTTTCTTTTGGGGGTTACTGGGTTTGAACCTAGAACCTTCACACATCCCCAGACCATTTTTATTTTTATTTCTATTTTCAGACGGGGGTCTCGCTAAGTCACTAAATTGACCAGGCTGGGCTCTAACTTAGGACCCTCCTGCCTTGGCCTCCCAGAGTGCTGGGATTACAGGCTCGCTAGTGGTTTCTTCTGAATGGGCTGAGCACCGGGGAAAATCTGACAGGCCTTCCTCTTGGAACTGGAGCAGGAAGCCTGTGTGCCCCCGCACCCCGTCCCCTGATCACCCTTCCCGGTCCCCTCAGTGCGCGGGACTGTCCTGGCCTTTGCAGAAGTCACTCAGGAAATGTTAAGCGCTGGGAAGAGTCCCAGGCACAGGGTGCCACTGAGGGAATCAAACACATCAGTGAGTCAAGAAGTAGTAGCGAGAGCTGCGGGAAGTCCGGGGCCAGGGCTTTGGAGTCAGCTGTGTGACAACAGGCAGGTCCCCTGCAGCTGCATCCCCAGGGTCAGCCCTCCTCTCCACAGCAGACTTGTCACCGAGCACTGTGTCCCCAGCACTGCCACCAAGCCATGTTTACTGAGCACTTCTCACGTACCAAAGGCCATTCTAACAACTTCCGCTGCATCTTCTCTTTGTAGCATCTTGTCTTTTCATTATCCAGGGTTGACACTTAGGGAAACCGAGGCACAGACTTGCCCAAGGCCACCCAGCTGCTGGGGGACAGGGCTGGGACCTGAGCCTGGCCATCCCATGTCCTCGAATAGCCCCCTCTGTGGCTGAGAGGTCTGTACCATGACGGCCAGCAGGAGGTGACCTGTCCCTGTCTCCCTCTCCAGCCTCTCCCCGGAGCACTGTGGAGCTGCAGGAGGTGACTCCCGACCTGATCTCCGGGAAGCCGGTGCCCGTGGCCCTCTGCGTCTCCTCGGGGGGCCGCCCACCCGCCCGGGTCTCCTGGTCTTTCGATGACTCAGACTTGAATGGAACGTTCATTGAGAGCCAGAAACCTGGGCCCCTGCCAGGCACGGTCACCATCACCAGCGTCTTTATTGTGGTGCCCTCAAGCCGCGTGGACGGCAAGAAGGTCACGTGCAGAGTGGAGCATGAGACTCTGGTGGAGCCGGAAGTGCTGCCTGTCAACCTCTCCATGCCCTGTGAGTATGGGCGACAGCCCTGCACCACCCCCCCGCCCCCGTCTTCACCTGCTTCCCTGGGCCACAAACAGCACTGCGCCTACTGTCTCCACCAGCTCCTCTGCCACAGTCAGCGCTGCACCTCGGTTGCCTACACCGAACCCCATACTGTCCACACCGCCTGCCTCAGCACAGGCTGCACTGCCCCCCGCCCCCGGCCCACACCTGTGTCCCTAGGCATCTGTCTACACTGGCCTTCCCCACACAGCTGTGCTGACGTCCCATCATCTACACCCACTCCGTGTCCCTTTTCTACACGGCCTTACCTTTGCCTATGCTGACTCCCCTGGACATCGGGCAGCACGGTCCCCGGTGCTCACACCCGCTACTTAGGCCATCAGCTGTGGGGAGTTGTCACTGTTTTCAGTTTTCCACTAACCATCCATTAAAAGACAATGAAAAGAAAGACATGGTGCTCACCATAGTGCTACACGCCTGTAATACTCGGGAGGCTGGGCCAGGAAGAGTTCAAGGCCAGCCTGGGCAACTTAGGAAAACCGCGACTCAAAATAAAATAAAAAGAACCAGGAGTGCAGCTGAGTGGCAGAGCATTTGTCCAGCATACAAAGGCCTGGGTTTCATCCCCACCACTGAGAAAGAGAGAGAGAGAGAAGAAATTTATTTTCATAGTGGATTTTATGTAAATCAATATAGCCAAAGTGTTATCATTTTAACAAGTAATTGGTTTTTCAAAACCATTCTTGAGCCAGGGATTTAGCTCAGTGGTTCCACCACCTGCCTTGCAAGTGCAAGGCCCCAAGTTCGATCCCCGGTACCAAAACAAAAAACAAAAAAAACCAAAACCCCATTCTTGACATCTTTTGTGTTCTTGCCATAGCAATCCTTCAAAATCTGGTGTGCATTTCAGGCCAGCCATGTCTGAAGTGTTCCAGGGTCACAGCTGGCTGGTGGCTTTGTGTTGGACGGCGTAGATCTCAGCTCCCCTCAGGTCTACACTGACCATCCCAGTGCTGTCCACACATACATGGCCTAGCTCCATTTCCCCAACTCCCCAGGACGCTCTCTGCTGCCGCTGTCCCCCAACATTGGCACGCTGGTTCCCCCAGAAGCAACTGTTCTCTCCACAACAGCTGCCTCTCTGCTTTCCCCGTGCTCTGTCCACACTGCACCTGGCAACAACACCCACCCAAGCCCTCCTAGGCACTCTGCATGCTGTCTCCCATCCCTGTCTACGCTGGCTGCTCCCACCCAGGCAGTTGATCGACAGGTTTCCTCGACAGAGTCCCAGGTCTGAGGGAGGAGGACATCTGTGGTGACTGGCACCCACCTCCTCCCTACTCCAGAGACAGCCCTGTCCCATTGGCCTGGCCCCTGAGGACTTAGGAAAGTGTCCCGTGCCATCACATTGAGGCAGAGAAGCAGGGGGCTCCTTCCTGCAGGACTTGTCAGACCCTTGACTATTAGGAGTATCCCAGAGGCCTTTGCTCACAGGACACTCAAGGCGGGCAGGCCAGGATGAGGAAAATGGGCAGAGAAAGGCAGGTCCTAAGAAGCCCCTTCTATGTGCTCTGTCTGAGACATCCAGGCCTGTGCTCTCTGAGGGAACCCGTGGCCCTGGACTCCTCCCAGTCCCTCCAGGTGGGTGCTCCCCATCCCACTCAGGCCTGTTCCTACTGTGAGGTGAAGCCCACAATCCTTCAGCCCCCCCCCGCCCCGAAGGCTCCCCATCCCTGAGCCTGTGTGTCCGTTCACCACAGACCCCCCTGAGGTGTCCATCTCCGGCTATGATGACAACTGGTACCTCGGCCGCAAGGAGGTCTCCCTGAACTGTGATGTCCAAAGCAACCCAGAGCCCCAGGACGTGGTCTGGAAAACGTGAGTTTAGTGACCTGGGTCTGGAGGAGGAGGCTGGGCCTGGACCCCTGGGTGTGAGGGAGGAGCAGAATAGAGGAGAGTAGAGGAAGTCTTTCTGCCTGGCATTGTTCTGCTGGGAGGTATTTAGTCCGGGCTGTTGATGCCCAGTGTCCATGCCACTGTTCTGAGCTGAATACCAGCCTTCCTCACATGACGCTGGCAGCCAGCACTGCAGCTGCCCAGTTAAAGTTCAACTACAGGTGTAGGCTAAGTGCCTCAAACGTGCAAGCCTCTGGGCTCAATCCTAAGCCCCACAGATACAAAAACAAAGATCAACAACAGTCTCAAATCCTGTCTGGCTCCAAACCCCTGGCCTGTACCACTTCCCTGTCCCCTGGTGGAAGCTGCCAGTCTGGTGTTTGGGAGGCACCCCAGGGCCTCAAAAGTGCTAGGCAGGGTGCCACCACAGAGCTCCACCTCAGCCCTAGTGGTTAATTATTTTACACGGTGTTTATTCCACCCTTTTCCTTATCACAAAAATAAATTAAAATGACCATTAATGGTCACAAAAATGACCACTGCAGAAACTTCAAACAATACAGTTGGGAGCAAAAAGAAGGAAATAGTTCCTCAGTAGCCAGTAAGTGTAGCCAGCCACCTCCTGAAGTACCTGCTATTATCTTTTGTCATAGGTTCTGCCTGTCATTTTTTTGTTCCCAAACAAAAACTAGAATTGTGGGGCCAGGGATTTAGCTCAGTGGTGCCGCCGCCTGCCTTGAAAGTGCAAGGTCTCGAGTCCGATCCCTGGTACCAAAAAAACCCACCTAGAATTGTGTTGTATGTGTGCTTTTGAAACCTTCCCTCTGTCTTGTGAACACCTTTCTGTGTCAAAGCACATAAATCCACTGCTCCATTTTTCCCAACACTTTGTTAGAGAAATTGTCACACATACAGAAAAGTCAGGAGAATTTCCCAGCAACCATGCTAGATGGCCCCCCTCTGGAACAACGGCTCCCCTGGGAGGAATGGCAGTCATGGGTTCTCAGGGGTGGTGCTGCTCTGTGTTCTGCCACCGAGTGCCACTCCCAGGTGGTGTCTGGATTTAGGTCCCACAGCCCACGACTGGGGCTCTGCTATGTGACTACTGTGCCCCACATCCTGTGTCAGGTGCCCAGGCCACTAACCACCCGCTCTGGTAAATGCAACAGTGCCACTCCCCTCCCCTGTGGACTCCCATTCTAGAGGAGAGAGAAAATAAGCAAGGTAGGGTCCTGGAGTACCAGAATTTGGTAAATGTCCTGGCAAAGTCAAATCAGGAGGGCTCGGGCCTCAGTTCTTAGAGTGCTTGCCAACTTCCATCCCCAGCACCACCAAGGGTAGGTAAATAAAAATTTGAAAAGTTGAGCCAGAGGAGGGGGATGGAGAAATGGGGGCGGGGTGATCGTGTCACGCAGGTGACTTCCCAGCAGAGGCCTGGAGGGAGGAAGAGCATTTGCAAACAGCCTGGAAGCACATGCAGAGGGTTTGAGGCTCAATCTAGAGGCCACTGTGGGGGCACTGAGGCACTGAGAATGATAGACAATGCGAACGGAGGCCTGGGGACCGATACAGAGGGCAGGTGGGGTCCGTAGCCGGCTTTACGCTGAGCAGAGGGATCTACGCCGACTCGGGTCGCGGGCGCCCCCTGGTGGCCATAGTGGGGGCAGACGGGGAGAGGGCGGAAACGGGCGGGGAAAGCCTCGCAGGATGGTGGCCGGTCTGCCAGGCCGGGATCCTCCGTGGGTTTAGAAGGCGAGGTCCGCAGAACTTGCTGATGGCTCGGACATGGCTGGGAGAGGAGGAGGGGCAGTGGAGGGAGGACTCCAGATTGCTCCCAGGTTGTGGCGCACACTGCGGGAGGCTGCATAGAAGGTGCCTGCCTGGTCGCTGTCACTGTAGGGCTCAGCAGAGGTCACTTCCTCACCTGCCCGTCTCCCCCAGGACCACGGGAACCCTGCCACTCTCTGCTGAGCCCCAGATCAGGCGGCTCCTGATCCACACTGTCGATGAGTCCATCAACACCACTTTTGTTTGCCTTGTCACCAACAACGTAGGGACTGGCTGGGGGGAGCTGCCGGTGCTGCTCAAAGGTGAGGAGCTGGGAGGAGAGGTCAGGGGGACCCGAAGGAGGGGGTGGCAGCAGGACCGCCTGCAGGTGAGGTCTGGGTTTAGTACCTGGCTATGGGAATCCCACTGTGACTCAGGAAAGAACTTTACTTCCTGTTAATCCAGCATCTATACCACCTACCACCGGTACCACTCTTCAGCCACCTGGAGACACTCCCTCCACCAGCCCAGGCGGGGGCAAGTGTGGGAGGCCTATTTCCTAGGGGCTCAGAAAAGGCCTTTCCTATGGTCTTAGGCAAAGCTCTACTGATTGCATTCGACAGAAGCCTGACTCAAAAGAATCCAACACCACACCCCCCCCAGAACATTAGTGAAAATACGCCTTCAGGGGTGGTTAGATCCAGGTGCTCCAAACAGGTAGCACAGGAATTTTTCTTTACATCGCTTACCTCTGATTTCTTTATGCTGGTTTTACTCTCAGATAAGCTCTGTTCTCTGAATCCTGTACCTTCAGCACTGTAAGAGCTAACCGAAATCCCAGGAGTAGAAACACCCCTTTCAGCAGCTCTCTTGCCAAAACTCCAGTGTCACTGGGGCACCAGGCCTGAATCTGGGTCCCAACTGTCTGGGTCCCTTCACCTGCCCACCATCAGAAGTATGAGGAAAGCCCACACAAGTGAGAAAATTCATTTACTTACAATTTGGCCAAAGAGGGAAGGTAGCTAGTCTACCCCATCGGGCACACAGAAGCACTCTGACTTTTAGGAGGAGTAGAAACAGCCAGGAAATAGGCATCTGCTGATCCCACCAGGCTCTGGACAGCAGACCCAGGAAAGTGTTGAAGTCTGGTCCGGTCGAAGGTTCCTGGCCTCCAGGGCTGGTAGTGGAAGTGTTACTGTCAGCATGAGGAAGCCAGAGAAATATCTTCACTTTTTAAAATCTCAACTTTTTAAACCGGATGTGCTGACTCACACCTGTCATCCCAGCACTCTGGGAGGCTGAGGCAGGAGGATTGCAACTTCTAGCCCAGCCTGGGCAACTTAGTGAGTTAGTGAGATCCTGTGTCAAAATAGAAAATGAGAAAAGGGCTAGGGATGTACCTCAGTGCAAAGGCCCTGGGTTCAGCCCCAGTACAAAGAGAGGGAGAGGGAGGGAGAGGGAGGAGGGGAAGGGGTGGAGGAGAGAGAGAGATTTTTAGAGATCGATTTCCACTTCACCAAACCTGCCTCTCATTGGCCCATCTTAGGTCACAGCCCACTTAGGAACCAATCACAGCAGCCAGAGAGAATGTACTGTTCTGATTGGCCAGGCCTAGGTCACGGTCCCACTCCAGGCTCCTCTGCTGGTTTCCAGTGCACCTGAGTCTTCTAGCCCGAGGCAGCCAAGTGGACGCTACCTAGAGGAAATTTGGCCCATGACAAGAATAAGGGTCTGTCTGCCAGGCATTTCTTACCTAACTGTCTGTTCCTTCCTCTCTTTCAGAGCCACCACCTGGGGAAAAGTCAGGCCACACCACAGGCATCATAATCGGGGTGCTGGTGCCTGTTTCTGTAGTGGTCATCTTGCTTTGCTGCTGGTGCTACAGACGCTGTGGTGAGTCGCCACCTCCCCGCCTGCCCCTGAGGACTCAGAACCCCGAGCCCCTGCAAAGCAGCAACCACTGTGGCAGCCTTGGTCCCACAGCCCCCACACGCAGTCTCTCAGGGAGCACTAGCCCCCAAATCCTGATGTTTCCCCCATTTGAGAAATAGAACTGGAGCCTAGGGAAAGAGGGCAGGTCACATAGGACAATAAGGACCTTGGCTTTCAATCCAGGTGACACAGCAGGGCTTTGATCATAAAGCTTTTCCCTCAGCCAAGAAACAAAGTCCCCCCCACATCCCAGCCAGATGCCCCTCTTCTAGGAAGTCCCCTGATGCCCCAGAATGGGCCAAGCACCCAGTCCTGGCTCTGCCACCAGCCTGGCCAGGTGGACTGTGAGCCAAGGGAGGCACAGCTAGGGCTGTCCAGGTCACAGCTGTGTCTCCAGCACCACCTGGTACCAGGATGGGCACAAGAAGAGCACTTAGAGGAATGTTTGCTGGAAGCCAGGCATGGTGCCACACACCTGTAATCCCAGCACTCAGGAGGCTGAGGCAGGAGGATTTCTGGGAGTTCAAGGCCAGCCTGGGCTACAGAGTGAGTTCAAGGCCGGCCTGAACTATATACAGAGACAAAATCCTAAAAAAGGAAACATATCCAAAGTGTAGCAATTGCCTTATAAGTATGTCACCATGGGTAAATGCCTTCATCTCTATAACTCAGCTTCCTCATCTGTAAGTGAAAGTAACCACTTACTAATATGGGTGACACGTTAACACAACACATGTCACACTGCAAGCCACACGCTGAGTGCATATTAACTATGGTTATTATTGCTCTTACTAATACAATTATTATTAAAAGTCCACATGAGTGGGAAGTTTTGTGTTTCATTCCCAGTTGTATCAGCATCTCCAGTGCACCTGGTGCAGAGTGGACATTTACTGTCTGCTCAATAAGCCTGTTTGATAGCTGAGGAAACTGAGGCATGGAAAGGTTAAATGCCTGGGTCCAAGGTCACAGAGCTCCCAAAAGGCAGAGAGGGAACTTCAGTGCCTTTGCACAAAAAATATTTTATTTCTGTTTCATAACCAACCAAATAACCGGGTGCCGGCTCCTCAGAGAGCACACGTGCCATCCCCATTTAATAGCTGTGGGAGGTGTAGGATTGTGGGGCACAGACCCCCAGCACTGCCATCCTTCCTGACAGCTTCTCCTCCCTCTCCCCAGGACGGCGCCCATCCTGCTCCTCGGCGAATGGGGTGAACAGGGTGAGTGTGGGGGCCACTGTGAACCACAGACCCTCGGCGGTCACTCACGGGGCGGGGGACGGATGGATGCCCACAGGGCAGCATCAGGAGCCTGGATCTTTTCTCCCATTGCCTCAAGTAGCATCTGTTGCTGCGCAGGAGCCCCATAGAGTTCGCTAAAGCACAGCCCCTGGGAGCCGGGTCTGCTGCAGCCAGGGCTCTGCGTGTTATTATGTGTCCCCCACAGTCACTACTCCTTGGGGAGCCCTGCCCTGGCTTCCAGGGAGAGGGGCCAGGACACATTTCATGTGAGTGCAAAGACTCTGATTTTGTCCCAGAGAGCCCCGAGGCTAACGTGACTGTCCCCCGTCTAGGTCATCTATTCTGCAGTGGAAGCCCAGATCAGCTCCCGGGAGGACACCCCAACAGAGGGCACAAGGTGACAATGGGGACTGGCTGGACCCCGCCGCGATGGCTGAAGGTGCCTGCAAAGGGATGAAGGGCCACCTGCCCCCTCAGGCCTCAAGATATGACTATCTCCCAGGGCAGTGGGGGCACACGTTCCACTAAGGACTCACCGAGCTCAGAAATACCATCCACCCATGGGTATTGTGGGTCACAGGGAAAGGATGGGGTTAAAGTCAGCCAAAAAAGAAGCCACACGGGGCAGAGTCTGGAGGGGACCAGTGCCTGTCCCTGAGAAGCCACAGGAACACCACAACTCCGAGCAGACACCCGCAGCACGCAGGAGGCATCGGCAGCGAGGGAAGCTCACAGACCTTCATGGCCAGGCTCTGTGTTGGGGCCAGCACTGAGGCTCAGCTTGGCCCCGGGCCCGCCAGCATGGACACCCTAGTGTGGGAACCAGAGTAACCCAGGTCCCCAGGTAAACTGTCCAGCAGGCTGTGCAAGGGCTTCGAGGTGACCTCCCAGGCACAGGGACAAAAGGCCAGGTCTCCCCGGGGGCAGGGCTAACCCTTTACTGCACAGTGGCCCCAGCGCTGAACCTTCCTGCTGCAGAGATGTTTGGCCTCTGGCATTGAACTTCCAAATCACTATCTCAGTCTTGTCCCTGGAGTTACGAGGAACAGAGGTTGGAACCCAGGCCCCAGGCAGCTGCCCAGGTGATTGGAACAACTGGTGGATGGAAGTGAACTCCCAGGTGGGGGTCCATCAGCTCCAGCAACCTTCGCCAGTGCCCCTGCAGCCACAAAACTCTACAAGGTAGAGCTGCTCAGATGCTGCCGATAATAAGGACTTGCTTCGGAGACAGAAGAGAGAGGGCACAACAGAGAAGGGTGGGGACAGCAGGAGGGCAGGGATGGGAACCTACAGAGGGACAAGGCCAGGGGGGTGCTGCAGGGCCAAGGAGATGGGGAGAGATTGGTGGGTTTTCTAAGTGATTCTCTGGCTGCCCCAGCATCTCATTAAAACCTATTTATTTATTTATTTATTTATGTATTTATTGTGCTACTGGGGATCAAACTTGGGTCCTTGCACTTGCACAGCAGGCAGTGAAACCACTGAGCTAAATCCCCGGCCCTAAAACCTATTTATTTTTATATCTCAGGTGGCTCCCTGCAAGGGGTCTTTTGTGGGAATCAAGGGGGACTGAGTTTTGTGTGGGAGGTCACCATGTGGGGCCAGGGGTGTGGGTGTAAGGCCCTGAATCAAGAGGAACTCCAGAATCCACCTCCCCAAGATGCTCCAATGCCTCTCTCCCACCCTCTCCCTCCCCCTTCTTTCATATTTCAATTGGATAGACAGACAAGTTAGAAAAACCCACCAGGGATTCATTCTGAGTTCACTGTTTTGCAGGAGGGCATCCAGTTCCATACAACCTTGTGAAGGTCATTCATGCCACCAAGTTCTCCATTTAAAAATGGCTCACATAGGGCCCGGGGATTTAGCTCAGTGATTCTGCCGCCTGCCTCACAAGCTCAAGGACCTGAGTTCAATCTTCAGTACCAAAAATAAATAAATAAATAAAATAAAAATGGCTCACATGGAAGACGGGAGCAGTGCCATACACCTGTAATTCTAGCACTCTGGAGGCTGAGGCAGGAGGATGCCAAGTTCAAAGTCAGCCTGGGCTGCAGAGTGAGACCCTGCCTCAAAAAACACCCAGCCAAAAAACCAGGGCGTGGTGGCACAGACCTGTAATCCCAGCACTCCAAGAGGCTGAGCCAGGAGGATTGCAAGTTTGTGTAGTGAGAAACTGTCTTGAAATAAAATTAAATAAATAAGTGGCCTGGGAATGTAGCTCAATGTGAAGACCCCAGGTTCAATATCCAGTACAAAAAAAAAAAAAAAGCCAACATGTCCAATTTTGTTTTCTCTATTTTACCACAAATTTGCGGGGGGGGGGGGGGCTACCAAGCGTCGAACTCGGAACCTTGAGCTTGCAAGGCAGGTGGCGGCACCACTGAGCTAAATCTCCGGCCCCTTACCACAATTTTTTAAAAAAATGAATTGTGTCATACCAATAAACCAGTGAATCATAAACTGTGAACCAGCGAATCAATCTTATTAGTGCAAACTCAGTAGCTTGAAAAACACAGAATCAGCGCTGCTCGTGTGGCTCACAGCGGAGCACTTGCTTAGCCTGCGTGAGCGAAGCCTGGCTCCACCCTAGCCCCAAACAACATCAATTCCGCCCCGGCCCTGGAGGCCGGAAGTCCGAAATGAGTCCTGCGGGCCATCGTCCTGGTGTCAGCAGGCACCCGCTCCATCCCGGAAGAGCGAGGGGAAAATCCGGTCCCTGAGCCTTCCCGCTTCCAGAAGCCGCCAGCAGCCCTCAGTTCGCCGTCCCCGTCCAGCTGTGACCCTCGGGGGCCCTATAAGGAGACACACACACACACACAGTCACTGCAGGGCCCACCAGGTGACGCGGGGCCATCTCACCACTGCCAGAGCCTCAGTCCCATCTGCAAACTCTCTTTGCCAAGTTCCCTAACAGAGTCACAGGGCCAGGGATGGGGGTCCCGATATTCGGAGGTCATTAGACTCTGCTGCCCGCCCTAGGCCTCTGCTCCTCCACTCAGGACCGAGGCGGCCTCCTGCGGGGCCCAAGCACACTCAGGCGGCAAACGTGTACCGCGCATGCCCAGAACGACGTTGCGGGCAGCGTCGGGCAGTGTGCAAAATGGTCCTCTTGTGAGATCATGGTGGCGCTGAAGAATTCCTGTCACTGGTGACAGCATAGCCTTTATAACTCCACAGTGCAACCAGCTGTATCAAAGCACAGCCACAAGCTGGGCATGATGGCGAGAGCCTGTAATCCTAGCGCTCGAGGAGGCTGAGGCAGGAGAATCCCAAGTTTAAACTCAACCTGGGCAATTTACCAACTTAGTGAGACCCTGTCTCAAAAAAATAAGAAAAAGGGCTGAAGATGTAGCTCAGTGTGGAGGTCAGGGGTGCAATCCCCAGTACTGGGAGAAAAACAAATACCTATTTGTGGGACTGTGTGATTCAAAAGTTAATTACTCCCCTAGGTTCTGTTGTAAATTCGATGGCTGGAGTGTGTTTGCCTCGGGACAATGGACAATCAGTAATAGGGCGAGGTTACTCAGCCATCTGTTTGCCCTAAATCCAAATGTCCCGGGGCCCAGTATCTATAGGACAATCTGTAAACAGGGTGGTCCTAACTGTCAGTCAGGATGTCTGCTGAACATCAGCATGTGACAATGAGCCACTAACCTTTGCTCTTTTTTTTCTGTGAATCCACGTTAACCCCCCCCCCCCTTAACCCCCTATAAAACAACCTCGGACTCTGAGCCAGGTGCCTCTCTGAGCTATTTTGCTTCGGGAGTGCCGTCTGGCCAGACTAATAAAGGTCTGTTTCCCAACATGGCCGGTGTGTTCCTTCCCGGGTGTGCTCCACTCCAGCTCCTTGGAGCATTTGGTAAGGCCTTTGGTCTTACATTCTGGAGGCACCGCTGGGATCCCCGGGTGTGCTCCACTTCAGCTCCTCAGAGCGTTTGGTAAGGCCTTTGGTCTTACATTCTGGAGGCACCGCTGGGATCCCCGGGTGTGCTCCACTTCAGCTCCTTGGAGCGTTTGGTAAGGCCCTTGGTCTTACATATTGTATGATTCCATTTTTATGAAATATACAGAACTGGCAAATCCATAGAGACAGAAACAGATCAGCAGTGGCTGGGGCAGGAGGAGAAGGAAATGGGAAGCAACTGCTGAATGGGTTGGAGATTTCCTTCCGGAAGGTGGAAATGTTCTGGAATGAGAGAGCAGTAGTGGCTACACAACGTTTCAACCGTACTGAATCCTTCAGAATTGGATCCTTTTATCAAAATAGTATGTTTGAGGTATCCTTTACCACAATGAAAAACAATTTTTAATTTTTTATGGAAAAGATTATCTTCCTGGTTCCTCACTGACTGGCTGAATTTTTAGGAACAAATTAAAGTCATGAGCTAAAGGATGAATTTTTTATAAAAAAGTGATGGTGAGGAAACTTCAGCCACAACGGCAGAAAGCTGCAACCCCCGCCCCTCCCCCTGCAGGCTGGTATTAAAGACAAGGACCTGGGTCGAGGATTTAGCTCAGTTGACACAGTGCCAGCCTCACGAGTGCAAGGTCCTAAGTTCAATCCTTCATACCAGAAAAATAAAATAAAAACAAGGATCTAGATTTTCTGGTTCTCCCCAGGTCCCCTCTGTGAGCTCAGCCCTGCTTCTCTCAGTTTATTCTGCCCTCTTCCACATCCTGGCATCATCTTCCTGTTGGTGCCAAGATGGCTGCTGCATTCCATGCATTGTTTCTTGGCTCACATCAGAGCAGCAGCCCATCCCTTCCTGGGTGAACCTCTAAGAGTAGGAAACCCTCCCCAGCAGCATCCCTCTGATCTCATTGGCCAGCACTGCCCACCACTCAACCAAGCCCTGGCCAGAAGAATGGGAAGGGCGGAAACCAGGATGAAGGCTGTTAGTAACACCCACCTCTGGGTGGCTGGAAGATCGAACTCTGTTCTGTTCTTTTGGGTACTGTCTATAAATGTGCTGTACTAAATCTGGACTTTTTTTCATACTTGGAATTGAACCCAGGGTGTTCACAGTGAGCTACATCCCCAGCCTTTTTTTATTTTGAAACAGAGTCTTGGTAAGTCGACTAGGCTAGCCTTGAACTTGCAATCCTGGCTCAGCCTCCCAAAGTGGTCGGATAACAGGCAGCTGGGGCTCTTCTTTTTAATAATTCAAAGGAAAGCAAGAGAGAACATGAGCACGAGAGACAGACAGGATTCTGAGAGAATCTCCAGCAACTGGAAAATCTAGAACAGCTGGCTCTGCTGGGGTGCACCAAGCCCTCCCCAGCAGACACAGGAAATCGTAGGACTGCAGCAAAAAGGATGGAGGGGGATGGTGACCCATGGTGACCACCAAGAAACCTTGCAGCTGCTGGGGAAGGTGGGGTGGAGGGCCAGGCTCTGGGAGGTGGGGCAAGTCCCAGACCAAGGTCCTCGGGGTTGTCTGGTTACTGCTCCCACAGCCCTGTGAGGTGGCCGCCATAGCTCCACGCTCCAGGGAGGAAACTGAGGCTCACAGAAGTGAAGGAACCATAGAGTCTGCAGCTGTTGCGTCCCCCTGGGCCACATCAGCACTCGAGGTTCGAAGTCGAGGGGCCTCACCTGCCCCAACCTGGGGACAACATGGCGCCATTACCTCTGACCAGTGGATGACACGTCCAGGACACACACAGCCTGGTGCTGACACCCTGCACCCCAACCCCATGTGCTCTTCCGCTGGGCTACACATGTCACCCCTAACCCCATATAAACTGCTGGAATAATGAAGGCAACATTCTCCATCTATGCCGGCCAGTGTGACAGCCACTAACCACAGGGCAGTAGGAGCAGTTGAAAGTTTGAGGACTCAAATTGTTTAATGCATTTGGTGGTGCAGACCTGTGATCCCAGCACTTAGGAGGCTGAGGCAGGAGGATTGCTGTAAGTTCAGTGTCAACCTGGGCTACATAGTGAGTTCAAGGCCAGCCTGGACTATAAGCAAGACCTTATCTCCAAAAAAAACTATACTTAAGTATGTAGAAAGCATATTAACTATATTAAGTAAAATACACATTTTAAATGACTATTTATATTTTTTTGCATTTTAAGTGGCTATTTAAATTAACATTACATTTAAACAGCCAGTGTGGCTGATGACTACAGTATTAGACAGCTCAAGCCTGGACCTTCCACCACCCAAGGTCTGTCGCAACAGAGCTCAAAGCCTGCCAGGGCACGGTGGCAGGTGATTATAATCCCAGTTACTTGGGAGACCCCTGGGCAGCTTCACCAGACCCTATTCCCTGTCTCAAAAATTAAAAATAAAGGGCTGGGGGTGTAGCTCAGCACTCTGTAAATTCAAGCTCCAATATTTGGGCGAGGAGCAACAGGTGCAATTGATCCTACCTACCTCCCCAGCCTAACACACACATGGTGTGCACACACACACGCACGCACACACACAGACATGTACACACCTAGGCCCACCTGCTCTGCCTCCCAGGCGCCCAAGCCCAAGAGTTTTCAGCTTGCTCAATGCCCCTGGCCAGCGGCTCAGCTCCGCCTCTGCCTACACTGCACACAGCCTCCTCACCCCACCCTGCCCATCATCTGCCTCATTTCTGTGCCATTCCAGGTCTCAGCTCAGCTGTTGCCTCCTCCAGGGAGCCCTCACACCTGTCAGGCCAGGTAGGCATTCCCTTGGCCTCTCCCAGGCCACTGGGATAACCCTTCTGGGTCCACATTTTCTGGGGACGGGTCTGCCACAGGAGGGCTCCATCATCACTGTGCCATGTGAATAGGCTCAGGGAATGTATGCTACAATGAATGAATGATTTTGAAAAAACTAAGAAGCCAGGCATTGTGGTGCATGCCTGTAATCCCAGCACTCTGGGAGGCTGAGGCAGGAGGATCACAAGTTCAAGCCCAGCCTGGATGACAGCAACTTAGCAAGATCCTCTCTCCAAATAAAAAATTTTAAAAAGGCTGGAGGGGTAGCTCAGGGCAAAAGCCCCGGGTTCAATCCCTACTAAAGGGAGAAAAAAAAAATAATGAAGTGCTGTAGAGTGAGCCAGCCATGGGTGCAACACCACCTCTACCTCTGCCTACCAGAAGATGCGCCTGTCTCCCTCGGCCTCAATCTCTCCGACTGTGAAATAGGCACAGTGCTGTGCGGCAGCTGCCATGTGAGGCTGTACCGGAAAGGATTGCTCAGCCAGAGGCCGCTGGACAATAGCCATGATCACCCACAGTCATGCTGAGTGGGAAGAACAGGTTGAAGGGACCAAGGAAGAGCCCGGGGAAGCCGGCAAGTCCCCAGTCACCCTGGGAAACCGGTCCAGCCAGTGTCTGCCCTGCCATCTGGCACACAAATCGGGCTGGGCGAGCCTCGGCAGTCTCGGGGAGCCACCTCAGACAGTCAGGACCGGCGCTCGGCTCCTCGGCATCTGGCTGGCCCTTTGGCATCCCCATAGGGCCCAAGATGGAGACTCCAGAGGGAACCCGGGGCTGCTTCTCATTGGTCCTGCTGTCGAGTAAGGAGGGGACAGCCCTGGAGGGCTGGGGAGACGGGGACTTAGCAGGGCAGAAGTTTCCCCAGAAGGAGGGGAGATGATGAGGAGAGGAAACGATGAGAGCAACGTGGGCGGGCAGTAGAATCACAGCTTCCCCCTCTTTTTCTGTTTTTGCTTTTCTGAGAGAGAGTCTATGTAGTTTAAATTGTTCTTAACTCTCTTCATAGCCCAGGCTGGCCTAGAATGTGTGGGGATCCCCCTGCCTCACCCTCCCGAGTGCTAGGATTATAGGTGTGCACAACCACACCAGCTATTCTCATTGTATTCATGGAATTTTCTTTTTTGGTACCCGGGATTGAACTTGGGTCCTTGCGCTTGGAGCAGGAGGCGGAAGCACTGAGCTAAATCCCTGGCTATTCATGGAATTCTCCAGGCTATCAGGACCATGAGGACAGATATTTATTTGTTTTCATTTCTCTGCTGTATCCTAGTGCTGAGAAATCTAGGGAATTTTATGACATATATAGCACTGGTATGGTTGGTTGGTATGGTAGTTATTTGTATTATTATAATATATAATATATATTATATACATTAAAAGTATTGGTTGCAGGGATGGATGGATTCAGAGAAACCAAGCATTTCAAGGCAGGCCACACAGCATCTCAGAGCAGAAGAATCTTCTGCATCAATGAGATGGGAAATCTGTGGCATCTATACCTCTTTTCCCTCTCCTGCACCCAGGGCAGATATCACTAATCGATCCCTGCACTGCTCTCAATACACAGTGCTCAGAGTCCTTGCCCCAGATGAGGATCTATGGGGAGGAGAACGCTGTGACCCTGCCCAAACCCCTCCGCCTCAGCCTGTCCCCATAACTTCCTCTAGCCTCAGTCCTGGCCCTCTGGCTGCCCCAGGGTGCCCAGGCAGCTCTCCATATCCAGAAGATTCCAGAGCAGCCTCAAAAGAACCAGAGTCTCCTCCTGTCCGTCCAGGGTGTCCCTGACACCTTCCAGGACTTTGTCTGGTACCTGGGGGAGAATGCGGATGGAGGCACGAGGCTGTTCACCTACATCCCTGAGCTCCAGCGGCCCCAGAGGGATGGCAGTGCTATGGGACAGCGGGACATTGTCGGCTTTCCCAACGGTTCTATGCTGCTGAGGCGTGCCCAGGCTTCCGACAGCGGCACCTACCAAGTCGCTATCACCATCAACCCCGCCTGGACCATGAGGGCCAAGACAGAGGTCCGGGTGGCCGGTGAGTGTCAGGGGCCTGGGGAAGAGGTAGGAAAGCTGAGGGCCCCAGGCAGCTGCCATGAGCCAGGCCCAGTACAAACCAGCCTTCAGCCCATCCTCCCACACTGACTGCACACCCAGTTGGTCCTTGTCTGTATTTTGAGACAGGGTTGGGCTAAGTTGCCCATTCTAGGCTCAAACTTGTGATCTCCCTCCCAGCCTCCCAGGGTGCCGGGACTATAGGCATGGTGTCCAGCTTAGATTCGAATCCTCAGCACCCTGATATTTCCAACTAGCAAATATTTTGGAGCAGAGAGCTGCACACTGAAGAGAGGGTGGGCAGCACCCACGGCCTCTGCTCACCGGATATCAGGGGCACTTTCCTAACCAAGACCACCAAAAACATCCCCAGATTTGTCTCCCAGAGCAAAATCACTCCTATTGAGAAGCACTGCCCTTGATTAATTTACTTTTACCTTCAAACAACTGCCTGAGCCAGGCATGGTGGTCCACACCTGTAATTCTTGCACTCTGGGAGGCTGAGGAAGGAGGACTGCCACAAGGACCAACCTAAACTACATAAGGAGACCCTGTCTGAAACCAACAAAAAACTACATGGGCCAGGTTCCATCACTGTATCCATTTTATAAATGGGGAAATTCAGGCACGGGGAGGTTGTGATTTTTCTCAGCAAAGAGAATTAAATAGGATGATGTGATGCCAAAAGGAGGCCATCGGAGAGGCCTCACTGAAGAGGTGACAAAGGGTCAGGGATTTAGCTCAGTGGTGCCCCGCCTGCCTCACAAGCACAAGGTCCTGAGTTCGATCCCTGGTACTGGGGAAAAAAATACTTATGAAGAGGTGTCACGTGAAGACAGACCGGGAGAAAGGGGTTGAGGGAGGGAGGTGTTATAACCTGAATGTTTGTCCCCCCCAAATTCATACATTGAAATCCTGCCCTCTAGGTGGTAGCATTACAAGGCAGGGCCTGTGACCTTTCTGCCTTGTTCCTTGGTGCTGCGGACCAACCGCAGGACCTTGAGCATGCTAGATACGCACCGCACCACTGAGCGGCAGCCCCAGCCCAAAAGATGGGGCCCTGGGAGGTACTCAGATCAGGGGGGTGGAGAGCTTGTGACTGGGATCAGTGCCCTTAGAAAAAGGCCCACTGGGCCAGGGAGTTAGCTCAGTGGTTCCGGCGCCTGCCTCACAAGCGCAAGGTCCTGAGTTCGATCCCCGGGACCAAAAAAAAAAAGAAAAAGAGAAAGACCCAGGGGAGCCAGGCGGCCCTGCTGTCGCGGGAGGCCACAGTGAGAAGGTGGCAGCCCGCAGCCCCGAAGAGGGTCCTCAACAGGACCCGGATCACGGCACCCAGTTCGCGACGTGTTGCTATAGCAGCCCTGCGGGGCCAAGGCAGGAGGATTGAAGTGAGTTTGAGGTCAGCCTGAGGTACAGACATAGCGAGACCCTGTCTCAAAACCCAACAGAATAAATAAATACTACTAATAAAAAGGAACCAGCCTCAGCAGTGCCAGGGCATTCATGGTCACTCCCAGCTGTGTCTGTGGCCCTGCAAGTCTGGTGGCAGTGACTTGGGGTCTTCAGGGGCCCAGCACAGGCTGCTCCGAGCCTCGGAGCCCTCTGACACCCAAGGCGCTTGACCACAGACCTGACTCCCCTCGCCTGACCCCCATGTATCCTGTGTCTTCTCAGCCATGCAGGAGGACCCCATGTCACAGATGGGGAAACTGAGGCACAGTTTCAAGAGCTCACTCAGGCCAGTCACTAGAGAACAGCAGACGCAGGACTTGAACCCAAAGCCCACCTCAGGACTGGGCCTTCCGCCTGCCTTGCCCTTCCTGCGCCAGTGAGCGCCGGCTGGGTGGTGTCTGGGCTTCCTGTGGTCTTTATGGTTGAAGTGAGACACAGCAGGGGTGGCTGGGGAGCCTGGCAAGAGCCCTGGGAGCTCTGGGCCAGAAACAGGGACCCGCACATCAGTGCCCCTTGGACGGTCACATGTGCACTGGCTGGAGTGTCACACGGGCCTCTCACCGCAGAGAAGCAGGAGGGCCTACCCGCCACTGCTGCATACCTGCCCATGAACGCTGGCATCATGGTGGCCGCCATCGTGGGGCCCCTGGCCACCGGGGCCCTGCTCATCGGCGGCATCGTGTGGCTCCTGGTGACGAGAGACCGCAGGGCTCAGGGCCCCAGGTACAGCTGCCCCGCGGAGGGAGGGAGGGAGGGAGGGACCTCGGCCGGCCGGCACTGCCCACCCCTCCATCCCCGAATCTCACTATCCTGATGCGGCTCCTTCCGTGCACCCCCAGAGAGACCATAGAGAAGCTGGAGCTGAGCCCCCAACCCAACACTGGTAAGCAGGAGCCAGGGTCTCGACCCCCAGCCCTCCCCAGGCCCTGTGCTGCCCACACCTGGCTCCCATCCCCTGCCTCAGCCAGGCCTCCTGGTCCCTTCAGACCCAGCCCTGAGCATACAGCATGGCAACGCAGTGCCCCCCCCAAAGCTGCCTTTCCCCCCTTCTGTCGCTCAGGGGCTCCCATCCACCCCACAGGCCACAGCCAGCCCAGGATCCCCCACACCCGACCCTCTGCTCCAACACCCTCCGTGGCTCCCCAGTGCCCCTGAACTGAGCTCAGCCTCTTTAACCGGGTTCTCAAGGCCCTCAAGGCCCTTCACACACCACCCTCACCATCTTTCCTGCCTGCCTGTCTCCCGTGTGACTTTCTCCTCCTCCATACACTCTGGGTATTGCGCGATCCAGACCACACCCAGCTCCTACAGCCTGCCCCAGCAGCTCCCTCCCCCCAGGCCTCCACCTCTGCAAGGCTCTCTCCTCTCTCCTGCTTTGTGGTCCCCTCCTCCCGGAAGCCCTCCCTGACCACCGGGCTGCCAGAACCCTGTACACTCTGGGTTCTCACTGTCCACCATCACAGTGGACTGGGAGTCCCTCGTCACTGCCGTGTCCCCAGCACATGGTCCAGCCGTAGGAGGACCCAGTGAAGAAATCAGTGACTGCACACGCTGTGTGTGGCCTGTGGCCACCACCTGTTAGCTGGTCCTTCCCCTTGTCCTCTGCTTCAGGTGACAACATCTATGAAGTGATGCCATCTCCAGCCCCCCTGGTGTCCCCCCTCAGGGACATGGGGACCACGAACTCAGCTGCGGTGAGTCCCATCACTACCCTCTTCCCTAAGCCAGCTTCCAACAGTGGCCTCCCCTGAGTTGCTGGTAGCACCCTGGGGTGCCTTGGCACCTGGTTTGTTTAAATCAAATAAGAAGAGAAGCTTACCGCGCAAAGGCTAAGAGCTGAGAACCCAGATGTCGCCGGGGAGGCCACTGAGCTGTGAACCTCGTGGTGGGGGGGCAGTACATGGAGGGAGGTGACTTCCTTTGCCCAAGGGCCTCACAGCTGGGGGCAGAGGAGCCATGGGGACTTTGAGTGCAGGCATGGTAATCTCAGAGGTCAGAGATTGGAGGGCAGCTGGGCAAATGTGGTGGCAAACACCTGTGATCCCAGCTATTCCAGAGGCTGAGGCAGGAGGGTCACAAGTTTGACCCCAGCCTGGGTAACTTAGCAAGACCCTGTCTCAGAATAAAAATTAGAAAGGGCTGGGGATGTGGCTCAGTGCAAAGGCCCTGGGTTCAATGCCCAGCACCAAAGAGGAAAAAAGAAAAGAAAAGAAAAACCACCGAAGGGCAGAGGCGGTCGGTGCGGGGCTCAGCCTGCTCTTCCCTTGCAGGCCCCCGGCCCGCCCCCGCCCCTGCATCCAGAGCCGGAGAACCACCACTACCAGGTGTGGGGGACTCGGGGGTCCCGGGACCCAGGGAGGGGTGGAGGGGAACCACAGGGAGGGGCTGTCCTCACATCTCCCCACTGCCCCCAAGCTGGGGGATCACAGCCTCCTGGGAACACCCAGCGGTCTCACAGGGACACGGGGCCACACAGTGGACCAAGGCCCGTCAGTCCCTGTCTCAGGGCCCACTCCCCCTTCTTCCCCCAGGACCTGCTGAACCCCGACCCTGCCCCTTACTGCCAGCTGGTGCCCACATCCTCCTGAGGGCTCCAGGAGCCAGGCCGTCCAGGAGGGGGTGCTGCAGAAAAGACCCCTGAGACCCCAGGACATGGCCCTCAGGATCCCGTGAGCTAGACCCGCCCACACACCCAGCGTCATGGAGCACAGGAGTTGAGGGGACAGGGCAGTGACAGGCCCAGCTCCTCACACAGCCTGTGTCTGTGGAAGACGGCACCACCTCGGCCAGGGCACAGCCCCATCCGGATGTCTGGGGCCCCTCAGGTGGCCTCATGCTCAGCCCCTTGTCCGGCTCCAGCTCTCCATCCTCAGCGTCCCACCCCCTCCCCTGGGGACAGGGCTGCCACCACCCGTGTCCCGGGGCTGGCCCCAGAGGACACTCCTGGCAAACCACCTCGGCCGCTGGCCCTGCTCCACCAGGACAGCTCCAGCCCCTCTCAAAATTCAGCCCCTCAGAACTTGCTGCCAACTTCTGGGTGTCGACACCCGGCCCACCCCAATCCCTCAGGGCAGTGACATGCTCTACCCGTCCCACCCCTGTCCCAAGTATGGGCTCCCGTGTCACCCTTTGATTCATTCATTCACTCAACAATAAATGAGCCCTCTCTGTACACAGGCTCTGGAAGCTTGGGCAGGGAACACAACAAACGCAAACTCCTGCTCTCCCGGAAGAACACGGGCAGGGGAGAGAATCCCAAAGCAAAATAACAACCTGACAACCGCACCAGGGAAAATAGAGGAGGAGGAGGAGGGCAGGGAGTTGGGGGTCTGAGATTAGAAGTAAGGAGAGCAGAGAAAGTGACAAATAAGCAGAAATCTGAAGGAGGAAAAGGGGAAGCCACAGTGTTCTAGAGGGACAGCATTCCAGGCAGAGGGTCTAGCAGGCTCACAGGCCTGAGGTAGGAGTGTGCCTAGCATATTCAGAGGTCAGCAATGGGACAGTGTGGTGGAGGCAGAGAGGGGAAAGGGAAAAGGATAGGAGATGAAGTCACAGAGAGGGGAGGGGGCAGATCATGCAGCGCCATGTTAGATGCAAGCCTGCATTCCCAGCACTCAGGAGGCTGAGGCAGGAGCATCCCAATTAGCAACTTAGATAGACATTGTCTCAAAATTTAAAAACTGAAAATGGGTTGAGGAGGTAGCCCAGTGGGAAGGCCCTGGGTTCAATCCTCAGTACTGAAAAAACAGTCAAAAAAGGGGGCGCTGTTGGGTTAGAAGTAACCCCACATAATGATCACCCAAAACTGTCCACATCCTAATCACCTGTGACTGTCACCTCAGATGACAAAAGGCTGCAGCTGTGCTTGCACTCGGGTCCGGAGAAGGGGAGGTCATCCTGGATTGCCCAGGTAGCTCCCATGTGTCCTCACGGGGCCCTTAACAGAGGGACAAAGGAAACGTGGGGGCTAGAAGGAGATGTGACAGCAACAGGAGCAGAGCCTGGCAGGATACACTTTCACGATGGGCGGGGCCACCGGCCAAGCCGCACCCCCAGTCAGAGCCGAGTCGCGGGACACAACTACCATCACTCCTTGCGAGCCGTGATGATGCAGTGGCCTCTAGAAGCAGAAAAGGCAAAAATACGCTTCTCAGGCCGGGGATTTAGTTCAGTGGTTTCTCAGCCTGCTGCGTAAAAATACGCTTCTCCAGGAAGCCCCCAAGCCTGCCAACACCTTCACCATACACCAGAGAGACCCACTCTTGTTTGTTTGTGTTTGTTTGTGAGACAAGGCCTCACTATGTAGCTCAGGTTGGCCTTGAACTCACTGTGTAGTTTAGGCTGGCCTCAAAATCTTGGTGATCCTCCTGTCTCAGCCTCCCAAATGCAGGGTTTACAGGTGTGCACCATCACACCCAGTGAGATCCACTTTAAACTGGAACATCAGAGCTGTAAGATAGTAAATGTGTTGTTTTAAACCACTTAGTTTGCGTCACTTTGTTACAGCAGCTGTAGGAAAGTAATATAGAAGATGAGGGAGAATTCCCAGGAGGGGAAGTCATGACTCAGGCTGACACAGCACAAAGATGCCTGAGTAGGGGACATCTCCATCCTCAACCTCTTAAACAGCTGGCGTCTGCCCCTTGAACCTCCTCCTGGCTAAAATGGCCAACCAGGACTCAGGGCTCCAGACTGTTCATTTTAACCCCAGACAAAGAGACCCATATGGCTCCCTTCTTCTATACCAGCCACTGCTTATCAAACTTCAATACACATTCATACTATATCATAAAAACTACATTTCCCAGGTGTCCTTGCAGTTATATGTGGTCATATGACTAACTGCAAGCCAATGAGGTGTGAGCAGAGGCTACACAAGCAGTTCATAGGTCCTGTTTTTCTTGGGAGGGGATCCTTCCTCTCCTGGTTCCCCTTTCCCTGGGGCTGGAGAACAGATCAGGTAGTGGGAACCCCGGTGGGTCATGTGGCTGAGGCCAAAGCCCTGAGGGAGAGCAGAGCCAAATGAGAGGAAAACCTACTGTTATTTTGGGATTCTGTCACACCCAGCACCTTCTAAATTCTAATTCATACAACCCCACCTACAAGATAGCACTTTCAATGTAGGACTGCATAACCCTGTAATCATAAAACTCCCCTAGCCCCAACTGTGATTGAATGTGAGTAAATAGATAAAGATGCTTCTTAGTTCCAGGACACTAGATAAGATCC